CGTTGATAAGTGGTGAGTGGATGTGGTCTTAGGCCTGCCTTTCACTTTTACTACTAAAACTACGAATCCTTTCAGCTTTCTGTTAACCAGCAGCTTCTCATTCACTGTTTGAACCCCAGGCCCTCATGTGTGAAGATCACTGGCTAGGTGGTGTCCAAACTCTGGCACCTGGTCGTTCAGATACTGGTTGGTGCCTTGCCCGTTCCAACCCTTACTGTGGCCAGAGAAGGCTGGCGAGGCCCCGGTCACCAGCTGCATCGATTGGGTATCAGTGTTGAGACACAGTCAGGTCCACGCTCTGCCCAGCCTGCAGGGCCTTTCCTTCTTGCACCGTGGGGACCAGAAGCCCTGTTAGGGCCTTTTGGGACAACCTGCCTCTTCGGAGACCTCACAGAACTGTTCCTACTGATGGAATCTTTTCTTGATTTTCTCTTTGGGCCCCGTGACCAGCTGGAGTCTGGAGGGCAGAGCAGAGCAGGGCCCCCCCCCCCCATTTTATAGTTGAAGGAGCAGAGCCCCAGAGAGGCTGAGCAGGTGTCATCGCTGACCTGGGGTCTCACTGCAGCCTGGGATCCGAGGGCTGTGGTCGTTTGTCTTGTGACTGATCCACGGGTCCTCTCTCAAACTGCTCGTCTTCATACAGACACAAACCAAACCAAAAAACCAAACTCACTGCTGTTGAGTCACTTCCAACTCATAGCAACCCCCCACTGGGTTTCTGAGGCTCTAAATCTTTACAGAAGTAGATCGCTCCGTCTTCCTTGCACAGACCGGCAGGTGGGTTTGAGCTGCTGACCCTTTGATTAGCAGCCAAGTGCCTTATCCACATACCTGGCAGATATTGTGGGTTTGGTTCCAGACCACTGCAATAAAATGAATATTGCAATAAAGTGACTCATATGAATTTCTTGGCTTCCCAGTGCATATAAAAGTTTACACTAGGCTGTAGTCTTTTAAGGCACTCTGGTGGTGCAGTGCCTAAGGCATTTGACTGCTATACAAAAATAAATGGTTCAAACCCACCAGCCGCTCTGCAGAAGGACGATGAAGCAATCTACCTCAGTACAGGTTTGTTGTTGTTATTGTTGTTGTTATGTGCTGTGGAGTACAGGTTTACCGCCCTGGAAACCCAGTAGAGTCGCTCTGAGTTGAAATGGACTCGGTGGCAGTACCTTTGGTGTTTTTGGTTTGGTGGTCTCTTAAGCGTGCAAGAGCATGATGAAAACGTTTGAAATACTCTGTAAGTTAATCAGAATGTGACAGAGACATGAAGTGAGCATGGACCGTTGGAACGTGGCGCTGACAGACTTGCTTGATGCAGGCTTGCCACAAACCTTCACTTTGTTTATTTAAAAAAAAATCTGCAAAGGGCAATAAAACAAGGTCAGCCTGCACATCCTTCCAGGAAGGAGGGAGTTCTCAGGCAGGCCAGTGGCTGGTGGTGTCGCCACACAGGGTCTGAAGCGTGGCAGAGGAGAGCTGCAGCCGGCGAGGGGGGGAGGCGGGGAGTGGCCATTTGCATTTGCCCTCGTGAAAAGGGCACCTGACATTTAGCATGATCCGTAGAGCAGGCAGGGGAGTTGGTACTACATTTGCAGTGGATTCTAGAAAATTCCACGCCGATTGTTGCAAATGCCTGGTAACGCTTTTCCTGCCCTCCTCAGTCCACCCTTCCCAGGCCCGTTTTGGTCCTGGTGCTGGCTGACGTGTGAGAAGCTCCCCGCCATTGCCCACAGCATCCGTTCCCAGAGTCATCCTCATCCTGTGACGCCTGCTGTCACCAATCCTTCAGTCTCCTTTGATCTCATTACCTGCTCAGAAAACCAAACTCACTGCCATCAAGTCAATTCTGACTCATAGCGATCTCCATTGGGTTTCCAAGGCTGTAAGTCTTTAAGGAAGTAGATTGCCCTGTCTTCCTTCCACGGAGCAGCTGGTGGGTTTGAACGGTCAGCCTTCTGGGTAGTAGTCATATGCCTGAGGCACGGTGCCGCCAGAGCTCGCATCCCCTGCTGGGCCCTTCCTGTTCCCTGGGCCCGGCCGGAGTGAAGAACTCTGCCAGGGCGCACGCCACGGCCGCCCTGCTTGCTGCCGTTGCTCAGGCTGGGCCCTTGGCCGCACGGACTCTGCTTGTCCAGCTGCCGTCCATCTCTGAGGCCCGGTTCAGGTCCGTCCTTGACCATGCAGGGCTCAGTCAACAGCAGTGTTAATGGGGCATCGTTGCTGAGACCCAGTGGAAAGGCCAGGCTCTTCACCCTGCTATCTGAGGACAGAAGGTAACCTTTCTCTCCCTCAGAGGCCCACTTAGCAGGGGTGCCCTCTGGTTGGTGGGTTACTTCTGTTACTGGCAATAGTCTGTGTCCCCTCTTGAAGGTGTACAGAGAAGGAACACACTGGCCCAAGTATGTGGTGCTAGGGCAGGAACCCAGTGTCCCACAGGGACCATCTTCCTGAAGTTGTTGGACTCACTCAGAGCCCAGCCAGCCTTTACTTCCTGTTACTCTCCCCTCTTGTCAGTGTTTTAGGCGTGGTGCTTGATAAATATCCCTTTCTCATTAATGCTTCCTGCAGAAGACAGAAGCTCTGGTGTGGTGGTTAAGGCACTTAGCTGCTAACCAAAAGGTCGGTGGTTAGAAACTACCACCTGCTCCATGGGAGAAAGATGGGCCAGTTCCACTCTGTCCTCTAGGGGCGCTGTAGTCAGAATAGACTCCACGGCAGTGGGTGTGGTTTGGGCTTTGCTTCTGTGAAGATTGACAGCCTTGGAGACCCTGTGGGCAGTTCCACTCTGTCCTCTAGGGGCGCTGTGAGTCAGAATCGACTCCAGGGCAGTGGGTGTGGTTTGGGCTTTGCTTCTGTCAAGATTGACAGCCTGTGAAAGCCTCTGCGGCCGTTCCATTCTGTCCTTAGGGGCGCTGTGAGTCGGAATCCATTCCATAGCACTGGGTTTGGTTTGGGATTGGCTTCCATGAAGATCAGCAGCCTTGGAAGCCCTGTTGGGCTGTTCTCCTCTGTCCTCTGAAGGTGTCGTGAGTCGGAATCTACTCCACAGCAATGAGCTTATTCAGCTGGTTCAGTGACATTGGTTACATTTTCACTGTGTGTCAACACTTTCATTATTTTGGTTCTGGTTCTTCCATTTTCATTAATCCCATTTCCCTGCCCCAGCTCCTTACCTTCTCAGCTCTGTTTGAGGATCACTGTTGACCATTTGGTCTCATATAGATGGTTCTTTTTTTTTTTTAATTTTTCCCCAAAGGAACATAATACTCATGGATGATATTGTTTATTTTATGTGTCAGTGTTTTAGGTAGCGGAGAGGTGACCTCCCGGAGAAGTTTCAGTTTATAGAGTTTGAAGCATATCTCAGGGCAATAGTTTTGGGCATTTGTTTTGGTCCCCTAGTGCCGCTCTAACAGAAAATACCACCAATGAGCGGCTTTAACAGACGGGTTTATTCTCTTCCAGTTCAGGAGGCTAGAAGGCCGAGCTCAGTGTGCCAGCTCTAGGGCTGGGTGGAGGCCCCTCAACCTTGGGCTTCAGCTCTGCTCCTGCCCCCGGCGCACTGGAGCTGGAGGCTTCTCTCAACTCAGACAGCTGCTGGCTGCTGAGGCTGACAAACCCAGGTCGACAAATAAAATGGCATAGTCCCAAGATTATCACACAACATGGCAGGCCACTAGTTCAAGTCCTGAGACAGTCCCAAGATCAGCAGAAAACATGCCCGGCTGCTGAATGAAGACTCAGCTACATACAGTGTCCAAGTGTGCCCAAAAGCTCAGAGACCTTTCTCAAAGCTGTCTCCTTATCTACCGGAAGCAGACCACATCCCGAAGTCTGCTACTCAGCTGCTCCGGTAGATTCCACCATGGAGTTGATGACCAGTCTGACAGTGGGGAGTCACTCCATGCAGCTGCCCCGCCACTCAAACCCGGGCCCAGCCAAGTTGACACACAACCTGAACTACCACACATGCTGTTTGAAGCCCTCTTTTTTATTATTATTTTTATTGTGGTTTGGGTGCACATTTACAAAGCAGATTTGTTCTACACTCAAGAGTTCATATATACTTTAATGGCACCAATTACAGTGCCAGCAGTAAACAGCTCTCCTCCCATCTCCTCGCTGTTACTACCCTCCCTGTATCTTTCTTATCTATGCATTCCTGTCTGTCCAGCTCTTTCCCCGTGTAAATGCTGCCCTTCCAGTCTCTCACAGGTGGTTGATCTAAGCGGTCCAGCTTCCTGGGGTAGGTAGGTGCATCTCCCTGGGGAAGGTTTTCTGCTCTCAAGCCTTCCTGCTGTTTGGTTGAGAGCTAATCCATGGAAGTCCAGTTCCAGGCCCGAAGGATAACTGAGGGCCACACTCTTAGGGGTTCCACTGGTCTCTACCCAACTAGTAATTCTGATCATTTTTGTGGTTGTGAGTTTTATTCTACATTGTCCTCCCACTCTATCCAGGATCTCGCATTTTTATCCCTTTTCGAGCAGTTGGCGTTGGTAGCTAGGCACCATCCAGTTAGTTCTTCTGGTCTCGGGCATGAAGGCTGAGGTTCCCCTGGGCCATTAGTCCCTTGGACTCATCGTTTCTTTGTGATTTTCATTTTCTGTTAGAAGCTCTCGTGGTGGCTACACCCATTTGCTCTTTGTCACAACCTCTGTGTGTGTGTGTGTGTGTCTGCCCTGTTGTCCCAGAAACCCGTAGCAGGAGTGAGTGTCCCCTCGTGTTTCCACCCCACAGCCCAGTGCAAACTTGACTTAGCAGAAACTGAGCGTTTGTTTGAAGTGACATGGAAGAATGGTCATGCTGGGGTGTCTTTGCTCTGCCGAGGACGGGTCCTGTTGTCACATGGCTCTTGGCTCTTCCTTTGTGTCCAGGCTTACCCTGAGCAGGCAGGCTGTGTGAATGCCCTAGGTGCCTCCTGGTGGCGGCGCCTTGCCACCACACGGTTGCCGTTCCTGCTGCCCTCCCTCACCGGCCTCTTGCCCTTTGGTCCACAGAGCTGCGGTGCAACCCCGGGCAGTTTGCCTGTCGCAGTGGGGCCATCCAGTGCATCCCCCTCCCCTGGCAGTGCGACGGCTGGGCCACTTGTGAGGATGACAGCGACGAAGCCGACTGTCCAGGTGAGTGTGTGCGGTGGGGCCCGGCACGCCCTCCTCCGTCAGCGGGGCGTGCCTTCCCAAGGCCCTCCTCCGTCAGCGGGGCGTGCCTTCCCAAGGCCCTCCTCCGTCAGCGGGGCGTGCCT